GGAGATTGTGGCTAAAGATCCTGGCAAGGCTGCTGATCAACTGAACGCTGTGTCCGTGTCATTCCTTCTTCGCCGACTCCGTCCACACCTTTGGGGACCCCTGGACCTGGTGGGGTTGGACCCCAGCAGGGGTTGGTTTGTTGAGTTAGTTAAATGTGGAGCTCAGATACTTACTTTGTCACTGGAAAGGGACCGAACTGAAGTGGGTGTGTCCTGGCCTGGTCTGGAATGTGTGGGTTCTTGACTTCATGGAGGAAAGATTTCACGATTTGAGTCCAGGTAATTTTGAGAGTACATTTATTAAAGTTGGGGGCAGTGAAACAAAGGAAGGGCTTAAGAGGCAAGATCCTAGCAACAGGAGTGGGCTGACGAAACATGAGGAGGAGTTGAGTCTACGCTAGGTGCCTTGGGCCTTTAGAAAGAAAGTCATGGAGGTAGAAGAAGTGAGCCAGCTGAGTTTCGTGGACTCTGGAAACAATTACAGAGGCAAAAGGAGGCCCAACCCAAACCTAAAGCAAGCAAGCAGGACTTAAGCAGTGACAAGCAGGATGAAGGATATGATCAGGAAAGGGAAAATGACTCCCTGAGATAAGGGGCGGGACTTCTGCGAAGACAATGTTCTGAAGGCAGGGCCTAGCACGGGTAGGAAATGGGTCATTCTGGCTCATTGTTAGGAGGAGTTTTCTGGTAACTTGCCATTAGCTTGAAATTTTATAAATCAGAAAGGAATTTTCATGTTTTAAAAAAAGATTGCCCGTTATGAATTATTATTCTGTAAGTGTGTCCGTTCAGATAAGCTTGTTGGAATAGAGATCTCCGCCCCCCCCCCCCCTTTTCAGTGTTGAATTGTGCCCATTACGCACATCCTGTAAAGGGGAACTGTGACTAGGGGGGCACATTTCAGAGAACCTTTATAATCTCTACATCTTTGGGAGGGAGGAGGGTAAAGATTATGCACTCATGTGTGTTAAAACACTGTTAGCTGTTCATCATTCTTGATTTCATTTTCATGATAGTTGGAGCAAAATGCTTAAGAAGGGTAAATGGCAAACCACCGAACAGGAACAGACCACACAAGCAGGGCTCATGCAGCTAATTAGTCATCTCTTGTCAGCCCAGTCCCTGCAGAGCAGCAGACAGCTAGGAAGGAGCTGGAGAGATGAGTTTCTGGCATGGTGATGGATCTATTGTAGTAACAATAGTTTATTCTTCAAATCAGGGTAATGAGAGCAAAGTTGCTTAGCAATCACGTGGATGCTAAAAGAATGGCCTTTGGAGGAACAGGCATTTAAAGTGGGATATATTGCCCGGCTGGCGTGGCTCAGTGGTTGAGCTGGCCTTATGAACCAGGAGGTCATGGTTGAATTCCTGGTCAAAGCACATGCCTGGGTTGCGGGCTCGATTCCAGTGTGGGGCGTGCAGAGGCAGCCGATCAATGATTCTCTCTCATCATTGATGTTTCTATCTCTCTCTCCCTCTCATTTCCTCTCTGAGATCAATAAAAATATATTTAAAAAAATTAGCATCAACTGCTGTTTAAGCTTATGGAGTGTTTGCTTCTTGTGATTAGATTTTATTCTGACCTTCAAGATTTTGGTGTTTTGGTACATTTTACATTTTATTTTAGAAAAATTTGATTTACTGTCTAGGCTTGTTAAAAAATGCTGATAAAAATTTTAAAAAGTTTTAAAGGTAGCACACATTTTTTTCTCTCTCTCTTAGTAACAAAACCTTTTCAGTTACCTATTCTTCAGTTTGTTGTTTTGTTTGAAAAAGACTTCCCTATTCTAGGCCTTACTAACAATGAAGAAAGATGAATTTCTGATCTGAATTATAGTTCCTTTGTTGAATTCATGAAACATGTTTGGGTTGACAGTTAAGGATTAAGCTTTTAAAATTTTAGAGATGAGTCCAACTCATTTTGCAGTGAGTATACAGAGACCAAGTGATTAAGTACCAAAATATTAAAATATTTAAAAAGGGAAAATGGCAAACCGCTGAACAGGGACAGACCACGTGAGCAGGGCCAACCCTCAGGTCTCCTCAGATAGGAGGTTGTGCTTTCCTCAGAATTGGCTTAACTAGATGAAGGTGGTTTAGAAAATTGTCACTGAATTCAGCTGTCCCTGTATTTAACGAAAGTACTGTCTTATTGCCCAAGGCTGAAGTCTGAAGTTCAAATCTAAATCTTTTTCGGTGGGGTCAGTGAATCGAACTACCTACCTACAAAAAACGTGATGCTCCTTGTTACTAGAGAGTATTGCACTAGGGATGAAAAAAACCTGACCTTTAGTCTCAGTTCTGTTAAGGACCATAACCTTAGTCAAGAAAAACAAATTGAATCTCTTTGAATTTGATCTCTTTGGCCAGTACTCACCGGCTGTAAGGTAACAAGGATGTTCAAGGCCTCCTGCCAAGACTCTAAGTTGGAGGATCTCTGAAACCCAAAAGCAGAGAGAGGGGTGGGCATGGGAGAGATTGGAGTCCCCTTTTTGTTTCCTGAGGATTTTGCATTAATCAACTGCTTTCTCATATTCTTCTATCTGGAAAGCCTTCTGATTTCCCCCAAACCTTTTCCTATCCAAAGCTCTCCTTATTTTAAGGCCTGTGTTACTTTTCACTTCCTCTAGGAAGTCACTGTAGCACACACAATTTCTCCTTTCTGAATTCATTTATTGCCCTTACATCTCTTTCGTTTGTTAATCATGGTTCATTGCTGTGGAATATGTCTTCCTTTTACATCTAATCTCTAGGGAGTAGGTTAACGTAGAAGAAAAAGTATAGATTTTGACGATAGATTTGGCTGTGTGCTCTTTCTAGTATATATTTACCCTTTAAAATAGGTAGTATGTTTTTGAACAGGTTTTTTTTGTGTGTGTGTGTTTTGACAATGAAAAGGGTAAGGCACAGTGAAAAGTCATCTATCCCTAGTCTAACATCAGACTAGTCTTTCCCCCTCTGTTAGTAGTTTCTTATATATCCTCCTGGAGTTTTCTTATATTTTCTTCCTTTTCCTTTTACATTTAGATGACACACTAATGCTTTTTTTCACCTAATTTATCCTGGAGATCTTTTCCTATCACTACAGAGTGAGTTTCCTCATTCTTCTTAAAGTTTTATAGATCAACCATAATTAACCAGTGGTTGGGAATTTTTACTTGGGTAAAGCCCCAAATGATTTTAAAATTTGAATGACCTTTGAGCCTTATCTGAGAAATATACTCTTCATTTATTTAAAACTTATATTCCTGCAGTACATTACAATTTTTAAGCACTTTACATTCTTAAAGTTAATCTTCACAAAATCTCTTGGGGGGGGGGGTAGATAATGACTTTATAGGTTTTACCAGATAAGTAGAGCTAGGAAATATTTGCTTAGGGTTTTGCTGACTAGGGTGTAAGGTTCCACAGTAAAAGCTTCACCGTGCGCTCTTCGTGTGCTCTATTACAAATAGAGGGTTTGCTTGAGAAACACAGCCTGCTTTGTAGAGGCCGATAAAAGTCCTCATTACTTCATTTATAACCATTTGCGAACTTACTTCCTTTACTTTACCTACTTCCTTAAAACCAGTAGAGCGTGTAGGAAAGGATCTGCACAGAAATGAAGCTTTGAGAAGCAAAACAAATGTAGAAAGAAGCTATGCAAATACTCTTCTTATAGACTCAATTTTTTAAATCTTAAAGAAATCCTAACTGAAATACATTGATGCAGAAAAACGTGACTTGCTTAATAGAATGGAAAGTCGTCTTTGAGATGAGTGTGGCTCCTTAACTGATTAAATGGGTAGGGCTGAGAAGAACAGGAAATTTTAACCTGGAATTTAACACTTAGTAATAATCTCTGTTAAAGGAAGTACAGCCTTAGCTATGTAATTTGACCTGTTAAGAATGCACGGATGACATGAAAGGAATTTAAGTTTTCTTTTTAAATTTTCATTTAATGTGAAACAAGATTAGTGTTGAGATAGAGCCCAAACCGCTAATTCAATGGAATGTGCAAGTGTGTGACTTAGGCTGTCACCAAGGCCAGCAACCCTTTACATATGGAATGCAAAATATTTTGACCGTTTTAGTAACTCCTGAGGTGTTTTTGCTATGACGCTTTCCATATTTATAAACTGGGCCTTTGATGTCTTTCTCTTTTTACATTTACACTTTTAAATACTAACGCTGAAAACAGCGTAACATCATAGATTTTTAGAGATGTTTGGACATGTCGAGATTACCAATTAACGTTTATTATATTTGTATATTAACTTGGCCCTGCCTATGGAACTAATGAGGAAATGGCAGCCCCGAGAGGTTGTGATTGGCCGGGGCCAGGCACCTTGCCCAGAGCCCCAGCTGCAGCTGCCCAGTCAGTACAAGGTTCTTTCTTTATTTCTTTTTTTTTTAAATATATTTTTTATTGATTTGAAAGAGGAAGAGAGAGGGAGAGAGAGATAGAAGCACCAATGATGAGAGAAAAACATTGTTCGGCTGTCTCCTGCACGCCCCCTACTGGGGATTGAGCCCACAGCCCGGGCATGTGCCCTTGACCGGAATCAAATCCAGGACCCTTTAGTCCACAGGCTGACGCTCTCTCCACTGAGCCAAACTGGCTAGGGCCGAGGTTCTTTTTTACAGCTCTCATTGACTGACCCTGCTCTCCTTGGGGAGAAGTTTAATTTTGAACACATTCTCTTGCTCCTTCCCCCCTCTTTCTTTCTAACGTGGGACAATTAATGAAAGACTACAAGTACTATCGTCAGGGGTCTTGCATGGAGCCTAGCTCAGTGTGGGCATGTAAGAGAGACTCGACTGAAGTGAACCACAGCTGGGGGAGGAATGAGAGGCACTCCTGGGTAACAAGTGAGGAGCTGGCAGCTGAGCAGTATTCACCCCGCAGTTGCTGGTTTATTCTCCCCCTTCCTCCCCCTAGAGCAGGGAGCAGCCAGCTGTGTTTAGGCAGTGAAGGTGCCAGGAGCTGGTTCGTGAAGGCCTCTAACGCTGCCGTTCTCTCCCTCCTAGGTCCTCTCCCATAACCTGTGCACGGTGCTGAAGGTTCCCCACGATCCGGTGGCCCTGGAAGAGCACTTCCGGGATGATGATGAAGGGCCTGTCTCCAATCAGGGCTACATGCCCTATTTAAACAAGTTCATTCTGGAAAAGGTATGAGTCCAACCTCTTCTTGCTTACAGCGTTGTTTGATGTGCATATTTCAAGTGGGCCCCAGAGCCCCTGCTGGGTGAGTTCACTTGTGAAATTTTGTAGCAAAGATTGTCAAAATTAGTGTTTTCACTTATGAAGTACTCTTTGTAACTATATCTGTAATTTCCTAGTCAGTCCCATAATACATTTTCCTTGCAGAAATGATAACATTACCTTGACCATGCTTTAATTAGAAAAAAAGAGAGAAACCACACTATAATGAAATAAGATTTAATCAAACTCAAAAGCCAAATATTGTATGATTCCATTTATGTGAAATGTTCTAAATAGGTAAATACATCTATAATAATAAAAGCATAATATACCAATTAGACCAGACATCCTTCTGGATGAAGCCGGGGCTGCAAGGGAAGCCTGGGTCCCGGTGCCAGAGGGAAGCTGGTGCCGGCAGTTGGGGGAAGGAAGGCCTACTCTTTCTTGCATCGGGCCTCTAGTCTATATATATAAAAGCCTAAGCGAGTATTTGACCATTTGATTGGTAGCTATATGTGCACTGACCACCGGGGGGCAGATGCTCAATGCACAGGTTTGGAAACATGGGACAGACTGATGAATCTCAGAGGGACCGGGGGAGAGGGGAGGGCAGGAAGGGATTAACCAAAGATCTTATATGTATACTAGAGGCCTGGTGCATGGTAAATTTTGTGGAGTTTTTTCAAAAGATTAAAAATGGAACTGCCTTATGACCCAGTGACTCCACTTCTGGGATTTATCTGAAGAAACCCAAACCCAAAACACTAATTTAAAAGAATATTTGCACCCCTATGTCCATTGCAGGGTTATTTATAATAGCTAAGTTATGGAAGCCACCCAAGTGCCCATCAATAGACCAGTGTGTAAAAAAGCTGTGGTGTGCCCTGGCCGATGTGGCTCAGTTGGTTGAGTGTTGTGACCTGCACTGAAAGGTTGCTGGTTCGATTCCCAGTCAGGACACATGCTCAGGTTGTGGGCTTGAACCCCAGTAGGGTGCGTGCAGGAGGCAGCTGATCGATGTTACATCAATGTTTCTCTCTTCCTCTACCTTCCCCTCTTAAAATCAATAAAAAATATTTTTAAAAAGCGGTGGTACATATATACAATGGAATAGTATATTTCTCAGCCATAAAAAAGAATGAAATCTTACCATTTGCTACAGCATGGAGGACTTAGTATTAAGCTCAGTGAAATGTCAGTCAGAGAAAGATAAATACCATATGATTTCACTTATATGTGGAATCTAAATAATAAAATAAACAAACAAAAATGGAAATAGACTCATAAATACAAAGAGGGAACTGGTGGCTGCCAGATGGGGGGGAGGGTTGGGGCACTGGGTGGAAGAGGTGAAGGGACCGAGAAGCACAGATTAATTGATAGTCACGGTGAAGTAAGTAAAGCGTAGAAACAATAGTCAATAATACTGTGTATGGTGTCACATAGACACTGGAAATATTGAGGGGAACACTGTGTAAAGTATATGATTGTCTAACCACTAAATAAGCAAGCAAGCAAACAAAAACCAGCCAACCAACAAAAAACCTCGTGAGTATACTAAAAACTAGTGTATCGCACACTTTAAAGGGTGACTCTTATGGTGCATGAATTATCTATATGTATAAAAGCTTAAGTGATTGTTTGACCATTTGACCAGTCGATTGGTAGCTATGATGTACACTGACCACTAGGGGGCAGATGCTCAATGCAGGAGCTGCCCTCTGGTGGTCAGTGCACTCCCACAGCGGGAACATAGCTTAGCTGACCAACTGGTGCCAGACGCTGGGTTCATGGCTGGTGAGCCTGTCCTGCAGACACTCCTGCTGCCCCTCACCCATTCACTCTGGGACAGGCATCAGGACTGACTGGGCGTGAGCCTGCAGTCGCTTCTCGGTCATGGGTGCGCCAGTATTGCTCTAGGATGGGAGCACGGAGACCACAGAGGAGCGGCAGCAAGCCTACTGAGTGGTGGCGGCGGCAGGAGCAGCGGGCTAGGATGAGCGGTAGTGGTGCCTGGCCCAGTCTCTGGCTCCTCCCGGCCGCCTGCCACTTCACACACTACTACATCTCTTGGGGGATGTAGGACTGCCGGTTTTGGCTGATCCCCACAGGCCAGGCCAAGGATCCCCACTGGTGCACAAATCTGTGCACCGGGCCTCTAGTATCTCAATAAAGAAGATTTAATCAAATTGTACAGAAACTGATCTGTGAGCTCTCAAAACCTCAGTTGATGCTGTGCTATCTTCTGGAGCTTTGCTTGGCTGCTGTTCTGTGCAGGTAGCTCACTCGTGCTCTGTCGATGCAGTATATGTAAACATGTCTCGCATTCAGCAAATATTCGATGACCTGCTGTGTGCGTGTGTTTAACATTAAAAATTAAAGACGATAATGTCTATTATTAAAATATAGAACATGTTGGGAAAGCCTCAGGAATCTGGAATTTGCTTTGTTTTTCAGGGCTAGAATTTGTGTGGTCTGGGCCAATAGAGAGAGAGATATGGTTTAATATCTTTTTTTGTTGTTGGTAATACTCACCTGAGGATTTTTTTTTCATTGCTGTTTTAGAGAGAGTGGTAGGGAGGGAGGGAGAGAGGGGAGAGAGAGAGACACACAGAGAGACACACACACAGAGAGAGAAACATTGATGTGAGAGAGACACATAGATTGGTTGCCTCCTGCACATGCCCCACTGTGGCCAAAGATTGAACCTGCAGCCCAGGGACATGCCCTTGACTGGGAGTCCCACCTGTGATCCTTCCATGGGAGGGCTGATGCTCTAGCCACTGAGCCACACCAGCCAGGGCTTGGTTTAATATCTTGAAGTGCTGTGCCCTAATATTGCATTTTGTTTTCCTGGGTGTAACTTTATTTAAGCATTTTGAATTTTACATTTTAAAATGTTCTTTATTTTAGTATTTAGGGTATTTTAAAGTTTTGTAGCCAGGGAAGAAAATATAGCAGTATTTAAAAAGTCCAAAATTAGCCACCAAATTTGGAGAAAACCTCATTCACAGAGCGGGTGAGGATGTGATGAAACAGTGAGCCCTTGTTTACTATTGCTTAGCCACCTGGAGTGGAATCTTGCCAGACCTTCAATCCGAATAAAGCTGCCAAGGATTCCATGGTGTGGGCTTACATTGAGCAAAGATTAGTGCTTTGTTTGGAAACTTAGTGGAACAAAATGCCAATAGTGGCTGAAGCATGATGACATAAAATCGAGAGATTGTTATCAGTCATGCAAAGGAAAAATATAATAATGATGAAATATTTGCAAGCAGTGCTTTCATATATATACTGTCTCATTTGATCCTCACGTTAATCCTGTGATGTGTAACTGGAATTCTTACTCCCATTTAACTCAAAAGGAAAAAGAGCACAAGGTTACCCAGTGAATGAGAGGTAGGTAGATTGTGAACCTAAGCCATTTAACTTCTAGACCAGTGTTCTTTTTTTAATATATTTTTTTATTGATTTCAGAGAGGAAGGGAGAGAGATAGAAACATCAATGATGAGAGAAAATCATTGACCGGCTGTCTCCTGCATGCCCCCTACTGGGGACCGAGCCAGCAAATCGGACTTGTGCTCTGACTGGGAATCAAATCATGACCTCCTGGTTCATAGGTAGACACTCAGCCACTGAGCCACACTGGTCGGGTCTAGGAAAAATTTTTTGTGAGCTCTCCCTCCCTTTCCCCCTCCCCCTCACCTTTGGCAAAGAGACAGGATACCTGGATTATCTGACGGAATAAATGAAGAAAGTGGTACCGTGTTAGCTTTTTACTTTGAGCCCCAATAGACTACATCAAAAACTAGTTCTGCTTCAGCATGTTTACGAGGCAATCTAATTCTTTCGTGAGATTTAATTACCTATTTGTTTCTTTGGTTCAAATAATTGAAAGTTCTTTTCCCTGATTCTACACGTTAAAGGTTGGTCTGGGCTCTAGGATTAAAACCAATACTCCCCTGGCAATATGCTAAGTCCTAACTGGGGAAATTTGCTACTTTCTAACATAAACCGTTTTCTTGTTGCATTTTGTTCTGTTTTTGTCTTTTTTTTTTTAAACATATACATGCAAAGGATAAACACACCAAGAGAAATATTTTAGTTCAATACAGCGTCCCTTCTCTTGAGGCCAGCAGCCTCTATGTTCTGTTTTCCTAGGTTGACATTTGTACTCTCTTACCAGATGCTTGAGTTCATGTGTCAGTTGTAGCTCTTCCATAAAATGCGATTTCAGATTTCTGTCAGTTGAATGAATATGCCTTCAGCACTCAAAATGTCCTCAAAACTTCTGAGTGAATAAAGAAGTCCTATGTTAAGGATGGATGAGTTTATGCCATAGGACACTTTGGCCAGCAATATAAATCCAAGAGTGATGTAGTTTAAAGAAATAACTGTTTTGTTTTTTGAATAATGGCTTTACTGAGATATGATTCATATAACGTACAATTTAAGTTTTTATAGTGTACAATCAGTGGTTTTTAATATAGTCACATTTTTGTGCAACCATCACCACAATCAGTTTTGGAGTATTTTCTTTGTTCTCCCTGAAAAAACAAACAAACATACCCATTAGCGCTCACTCTGTCCTACCCTAGAGCCCTAGGCAACCACTAATCTACTTTCAGTCTCTATGGATTTGCCTATCCTGGACTCATACCATATGAATAGAATCATAAATATGTGGTCACATTGTAGCATGTAACAGTGCTTCATTCCTTTTAATGGCTGGATAATATTCCATTATGGATATACCACATTTTGTTTGTACACTCAACAGGTGAAGGGCATTTGAGTTATTTCCACTTTTTGGTTATTATGAATTTGTTGCTTTGAGCATTCATGTTCACATTTTTGTGTGGATGTGTGTTTTCAGTTCTCTTGGGCATATACTTAGGAAGGGAATTGCTGAGTCATATGGCAACTTACGTTTAACCTTTTGAGGGATTGCCACGCTGTTTTCCAAAGCAGCTGTGAAGTTTACTTTCCTACCAGCAATGTGCGAAGGTTCCAGCTGTTTCATATCGTTACCAACACTTGTCATTTTCTGTCTTTTTGATTATAGCCATCCTTGTGGGTGTGAGGTGTGGTATCTTACTGTGTTTTGATTTGTATCTCCCTGACGATTAATGTGAAATACTGTCTTTAAAGTGGTTTTCTTAATTGTAAAATGGTTTCCTGTATTGTAAATACAGGCGCGTGGTTGTAAATTTTTTAAAAAAGGGACTTATTCAGAAAATATTACCCTTACCATCTTGAGGCAGTCACTTTTAAAATTTTGATCTGTTTACTTTGAGTCATTATTTTTAAAAATACATTTGTATGATTTTTTAAGCTGGGATCATATTGAACACTTAATATTAATATTTCCTTTCCCATGTTATCAAAATATTTTTGAAAACATTAGTATAAAGATAAAAATGCTAACATTCATTTAGTCCACTGTGTATCAGGCACTATGCTAAATGTTTTAAAGAAGTGTTACTAGCCCTAGCTGGTGTGGCTCCGTGGATAGAGCATCGCCCTGTGGACTAAAGGGTCCCAGGTTCGATTCCAGTCAAGGGCACATGCCCAGGTTAATATATTTTTATATAAATAAAAATATAATAAATATATTTTAATACTTCTAAAAAAAGAAGTGTTATTAGTTGGTATGAAAATTTTAATTTAGAAACATGAGTTTAATTTTGTAAATACTTTTAGTACTTTGAGTCAGAATTGAGGTCCATAACTGCCATCTTACTCATATGTATGGGTTCATATGTATTCATATGTATGGGAAAAGCAAACATATGTTAAAAATAAGAAGAACTCAGACCCAATCTGAGCTTGCTGTAGCAATACAGTCTAACCCAGCCGTGGGCAAACTACGGCCCGCGGGCCGGATCCGGCCCGTTTGAAATGAATAAAATTATTGAAAAAAAAGACCGAACCCTTTTATGTAATGATGTTTACTTTGAATTTATATTAGTTCACACAAACACTCCATCCATGCTTTTGTTCCGGCCCTCCGGTCCAGTTTAAGAACCCATTGTGGCCCTCGAGTCAAAAAGTTTGCCCACCTCTGGTCTAACCTATTCCGGTGCCTGTCCTCTATGAGACAAGCTGTTACATAGACTTAGTGTTAAAAAAAACAACCAGAAAACAACTCTACACATTTTTTTCTAGGAAATTATCTTCCATTTGGACACCCTGAGATCAGTGACAGCCGTTGTTAGTTTTCCAAAAGATGTGAGACTGTCAGTTTCATGTGTCTGATATAAACTGGGAATTGGGAGCAGTTTGTAATCTTAGATGAGATGGAGCATGGAGCCATAGATTCCTAGACCCTTTATAGTTAGAATGAACTTAGAGAGGATCTCCAAGCCCAGCGTGCTTATCATGGCTTGCAGGGCTGTGTTCTGTTTGGCCTCTGCCAACCTCTCCAGCCTCCACGTTCTCCACTCCCTTCTTGCTCACTGCAGTGCAGCCATGTTGGCCTCCCCTCTGTTCCTCAAATTACGAAGACCTCTGCTGCCACAGATCCTTCAGACATGCTGCTTGCTCTGCTGTCAGGCTTCCTGTGCCTGTAGCATGCAGCCGATGCCTATTCATCCTTTTGGGTCTTCGCTTGATCGTCACTTCCTCAGGGAGGTTTCTGTAGGTAGCGCCCCACCCTCCCCAGAGCTAACCAGCTCTGCCTCCATGTGTTCTCAAGCATCCTCTCCTTTTCCTTCAGAGCACGCACCACGGTTTTTATCACGTGGGTGGTTGTGCTTTTGCTGTGTTGTTTCCCACCTGGTGTGGAAGTTCTCTGATGGCAGGGACTGGCTCACAGTTGTCCAACGCTACTGATTGTTTCATCTGTGGGCAGAAGTTTATATTTGCTGTAGTTTCGTTGGTCTGTTTTTCCTTTTGTTGCCTGTGCCTTCAGTGTCCTATCCAAGAAGTCATTGTCTGTTCCAATGTCAGGAAGCTTTTTCCCAATGTTTTCTTCTAGGAGTTTCAGATCTTCCATTTATATCTTGATGCCGTTTTTAAATTAACGTTTGTATATGATCTAGGGCAAGGGTCCATCTCATTCTGTTGCAGGTGGATATTTTCTTCCAACCATTTGTTGAAGAGAGACTTTCCTTTCCTCATTGTGTAGCTTTGGCACCTTTGTTGAAGATCATCGACCATGTACCTGCAGGCTTATTTCTGGGCTCTTTTTTCTGTTTTATTAGTCTGTCTGTTTTTATTCCAGTAGCAGACTATTTTGATTCCTGTGGCTGTGTAATATGTTTTGAAATTAGAAAGTGCAAGGCCTCTAGCTTTGTTCTTCTTCTCAAGATTGTTTTGGATATTCATGGTCCTTTGAGATCCCATATGAATTTTAAGATAATGTTTTTTTGTTTCTGCAAAAGAATGCCATTGGGATTTTGATAGGGATTGCATTAGATCTAAATTGCTTTGGGAGTATGGACATTTTAATAATATTGTCTTCTAATCCATGTATATGGGATGTCTTTCCATTTATTTGTCTTCTTTAATTTATTTCAGTAATATTTTGTAGTTTTCAATGTACAAGTCTTTTGCCTCCTTGGAAATGTTTATTCCTAAGTACTTTATTCTTTTGGATACTATTGTAAATGGGATTTTTTCTTAATTTCTTTTCCAGATTATTAGTGTATAGAAATATAACTGATATTTGAATGTTGATCTTGTATCCTGTAATTTTGCTCTATTTGTTTACTTGTTATAACAGTTTTTTGTAGATATATATATATTAAAAAAAGCAGCCCAGCCGGTGTGGCTCAGTGATTGAGTATTGACCTATGAACCAAGAGGTCATGGTTCAATTTCAGTCAGGGCACACGCCCACATTGCAGGCTCAATCCCCAGTGTGGGGCATGCAGGAGGCAGCCGATCAATGATTCTCTCTCATCATTGATGCTTCTCTCTCTCTCCCCCTCTCTGAAATCAGTAAAAATATATTTAAAAAAATAAAAAAGAGCATATCATCTGCAAACAGAGATAATTTTACTTTTTTCTTTCCAATTTGGATGACTTTTATTTTTTTTCTTGCCTAACTGTCTGACCAGTACTGTGTTGAAAGGAAGTGGTGAGAGTGGGCATCTTTGCCTTGTTCCTGATCTTGGAGAAAAACTTTCAGTTTTTCACCGATGAGCATGATGTTAGCTGTGGGCTTTTCATATATGATCTGATTCTTGTACTTTTTAAAAAGATGTCAGTGCTATCATTTAATACTCTTTTACTTGAGTATCATTAAACTAAGGAATTGTGGAGTAGGTTTTAGAGGAGGAATGAGCCGAACACACAACTTATTTCCTAGGATAACTAATTTATGGAGAATTTTCTTGGTTTCTGATCCCACTGAAATCTTTTACCCACACTTTTCAGCTGTCTTGAAGATAACTAGAGATCACTTAAGTGCATGCAGAACCAGTGGTTTTTCAATCAGCCCCTCCGTAGTCTCTCTGCAGCGTTTCCCACTACTTACCAAACCCTCTCAACTGTTTCTTCACCCGATTCTCATATCTTTGTGGTTCTCCTACCACTTTGAGTGCTTTTTCAGTTATCCCGATTCCTCTTCCTCCTCTTGCGTTACCAATGTGTGTATCCCCCGAGGTCCTGTTTCTGATCTCCTCTCTTTTCTCCCTTCGTGGTCTCCCTCCGTGGTCTCATAGGCTGTCATGGTTTCAGTCATCACTGGTGTGCAGTTGATGCACAGATCTGCCTCTCCTCTTAGGTTAGTTTCACCTCTCAGATTGGCCCTGGACACCTCCATCTAATGTCTTACCAGAACTTTCCAAACGGAAAACTTTATCTTTCCTTTGCCCTTGTGTCTGTGTCCTTCCTCCTGTGACTGTTTCCCAAACAGGGAGGGTGGGCTGCTCCTGCCGTGCTGTTTTGCTGATGCCATTTCCTTTCTGTCCTTTGGAACTTTACCTTGAACTCTTCAACATAATCCAAGGGTCACCTTAAATACCGTCTTTTCTGCAGAGTAGCTATCTGGGCTGCAGATGACCTGTTCATTCTCTGCTCCAAAACCCTTCAACTGGGGGTTTCCTCTAGACTATTTAAAAAAGAAATCATGAAGCTCTTTGTGATTTCTGTGTTTGCTTTTCTAGCCATAAATTTAGCCACTCCCGCCAGGAACCCTACAATTCACCACATAGTCCCCACGGAGTCTCTGGTTCCTCAGAGCAAGGCTGTGTGCTCATGCGCCTGTCACTTCCCATGTGGCATAGCTTTCACTGACATTTTTTTTAGGGGTGTGGGTGGATAGAGTTGATGGTGGTGGCCTTTGAAACTAATCCTATAGAGATGTCTTTCATTATGTAGATGTCGTCCATCTACTGAGTTCTACAGCAATTTGGCATAGTATTAACAGACAGCATTTAAAGTTTGATTTAGACTCTGTTTTTGTTTTTTAAAATAAATTTGTATTGATTTCAGAGAGGAAGGGAGAGGGAGAGAGAGATAGAAACATCAATGATGAGAGAGAATCATTGATTGGCTGCCTCCTGAATGCTCCCCACTGGGGATCAAGGCCATAACCTGGGCATGTGCCCCGACTGGGAATCGAACCAGGACCTCCTGGTTCATAGGTCAACACTCATCACTGAGCCATGCCAGCCGGGCTTCCTATAATATTCTTAATTGAGCCTTTAAAATTGTGGTACCTAAGCATATACACTGAAAATGTATTCGTGAATTGGATTGGTTAAAATGGAAGCCTAAGTGAGCTTTGTTTTTCGGTTTTACTGGGCTTATGTTATATTACTTATTTTGGATTGGTTCATTGGAATGTTTCCTTATCCCTTTTTAGGTCCAAGACAACTTTGACAAGCTTGAATTAAATAGAATGTGTTGGACCCTCTGTGTCAAAAAAAACCTCACGAAGAGTCCCCTGCTCATTGAGGAAGAAGATTCATTTAAAGTGTGGGTTATTTTCAACTTTTTATCTGAGGACAAGTATCCATTAATTATTGTGCCAGAAGAGGTAAGGTGTGGCTCTGGGCCATCTTCGCATTTAATAGATCGAACTTGGAAGTGTTTGTGTTAAGTCACTGTAGATATGAAGTATTGGACTAGACTTTTTGGATCAGAGGCAAAACGGCTTGAATCTAAAAAAGGTCCAAAACTTAAGTGATTTAGGGTCATGTAGTATCCCTGGAGACTTGCAGACAGGGTGGGGCTCTTCCTCTCTAAATTGCTGTAATTATAGACAAATCCGTCCTCATGTCCAAAGAATATTTATTCAGTACAAGTTACATCATAATTTTTTGTCTACCTGCATATTGATAAAACCATAAGAATTGGTCAAGTGATGCTATATGGGCAACATATAGGATCCAGAATGTTTTCAAGGCTGTTTTATGTAAGGAAATACTATTCTTGTTTCAAAGTCCAGGATGGTGACTTTTAACTGTACTTCCCACAGTAAATGAAAAAGGACATTGCTTGTTTTGTTCTGAGTTATTTTTCCTAAGGTTCCAAAAGAAAAAAAATAGAGTAAGGTTTTGTGATATCTTACTGCCCTTTAAAAATTACATCTGTAGCCCAGCTGGTGTGGCTCAGTGGTTCAGTGTTGATTCATGAACCAGGAGGTCACAGTTTGATTCCTGGTCAGGGCACATGCCCGAGTTGCGGGCCCCGTCCCCAGTAGGGGTTGTGCAGGAGATGGCTGATCAATGATTCTCTCTCATCATTGATGTTTCTATCCTTTTCTCCTTCTCTCTTCCTCTCTCTGAAATCAATAAAGACATATTTTTAAAAAATTATACCTGTAATACATGCTTATTACAGTAGAAAAGCCTTATAATATGCAAAGTTAAAACCAGCTGCAGCCCTCCCCTTAAAAACAAGTCATCTGTAATCCCTTAACCTTGGACAAATTATTTAACCTCTTAGGCTTTAATTTTCTCATGTATAAGATGTTACCTCTAAGGGGTGTGAGAGTCTGCATTTAAGTACTTAGCTCAGTGAGCAGCATGTAATATGTACTCAGTAAATGTGTTGACTCTAATGACTACTATTATTGCATATGTTAACCTGTGTGTTTGCTGAAGATAAATTTCCAGCCGTGGAATTCCGAGTTCTAGGAAATGCACAGTCTCAAGGTATTATTAGGTGAACAAGGCAAAATTGCTTCCAGAACTGCTGTACCAATGTATACAGTGTATACTATACACTCACCAGTGGTGGTTGAGGGTGCCCTTTACTCCCCATCCTGCCTATACAGAGTCTAGAACAGGGGTGGGCAAACTTTGTGACTCAAGGGCCACAATGGGTTCTTAAACTGGACGTCCTTTTTTTTTTTTAGTTTCATTCATTTCAAACGGGCCGAAACCGGCCCGCGGGCCGTAGTTTGCCCACGGCTGGTCTAGAATATAACTTCTATGATGCTTGTTCATGTTAGGAAAATCTTTTAAAAACTTCATACTACAATATTTTATTTAAAATCAGCAAGCATTAATTAACTACCAACAATAAGTGAGGCACCAAGAGGAATACAAAGTGAGAAAGATTACTTCCTGCCTTCAAGGAACTTACAATCTGCTGGAGGGAAAAAAATAAATCAGGTGTCATTCAAAGCAAAATGGACTACCTGTTCTCAGAAAGATGCAAATGCCATGCAAATTCAGAGAAGGCAAGATTTACTCCAGCTTGGGGGAAATAAGGGGATGGGGCAGCTTCGTCAGAGAGGCAGTGTAATGTAGTGGCTAAAAGCAGATACTTGAAGGGTAAGGGTAAGTAAATATTTGAGGCTTTGTGGACTTTTTGGGCCATACTGTCTGTCTCTGTCACAGGTACTCAGCTCTGCTGTTGAAGCATAAAAGTAACCATAAACACTATATTGCTATGCTTCAGTGAAATGGATGTTGAAGTTTGAATTTCATATAATTTTCATGGGTCAAGACATTTTTTTGGACTTTAAAAAAATGGTTATTCCCAACCACTTTACAATGTAAGAACTATTCTTCCTTGGATCATGGGTGTGTAAAAACATGCTGTGAACCAGGTTTGGCTGCTGGGCTAGCTTTAACTCAGGGGCCACAATTGGCTGTTCCCTGATGAAGAGCAGGGTTCTGGAGTCAAATCTCTGGATTTGAATCCTGGCTCTATCACCATTCACTAGATGCATGACCTTGGGCAATTTTCTTCATTTGTTTTTGTTGCATTTTCCTCAACTGTAAAATGGTGCTAATTAAAGTATTTACCTCCCACTGTACTTGTGAAGATCAAGTGAGAAGAATACCTGGTCCTTAGTGCTGATCAAGTATTAGCCATTATATCTATGGGGAAAGCAGTACTAGTGCTGGGTCTTAAAAGATCAGAAGAGTTTTGACTAATAGAGAAGAATTCTGGATGGAAGAAACAGTGGGCAAGGTTCTGTGGGGCAGGAAAGCAAAGGGCATGTGCTGAGATGCGTGAAGGATGCTTACTTGGAAACACCAGGACTAGATGATTTAAGGCAAAAGTAAATGTGTGAAAAGAATGTTGGGTAGTTCACAGAATTGCCACGATGGCCTAAAAACCAGGTGTGGTGGCTGGAACTACACTGGTTGCTCCAGTGAGGACCACACGAGAAAGGTTGTACCAAGGAACACCTCCGGCCCTGCACCCTGGGTGCTACCCAGGAACTCAGGTCTTCCTGCAGCTTTCTTGTTACCAAGGAGAGTTCTCTATGGTGCTCACTATCCAATTCACATTTGGGATGATGCATCTAATTGGCGTCCTAGGTCACGTGCCTAGCTGCAAAGGAGGCCTGGAAAGGGCACATTTACATTTTTACTCTTACATTGGGAGGTAGGGGATTCCCCAGACATACGAAGGGCTTTAGATGCTGGGCCGTCAAGAAGACTGATACATATCCCGTCTAAGTGAAACATGATGGCTGTGAAGAAGAGTGGTAGTAGATAAGGCTGTGCATAATTTTGATTTTATCCTGTAGGCAGTGGGGAGCTGTGAGCCACTGATTTTTAAGCAAGAGAGTGACAGGTAAATAGATGAAATATGGAGAGGTGGGAGATGGGAAGTTAAGAGAAGGTAAGTGGTATTAAGGACTAAAGAACAGTAACATCAGTGAGAATGGAAAAGAAGGCCAGATAGGAGGGACCTGGAGGTCACAGAACCAGGCTCGTAGTGCCTTGCTGTGCGAAAATACAGACAAGTGTCAGGCTGGGCAATTAGGAAGTAATATAGCGTCATTGTTTAAAGCATGGTCTTTGAAATCAGACTGCCCGGTTTGAACCCTGACCCTTCCACTTTTTAGCTGTGACTTTGAACAAATTAGTTAACCCCTCAGTTTGGGTTTCCCCATCTTTAAAATGGGGGTAACTACTCTCTTCATTGGGCTCTTGTGAGGATGTAGATAGTTGATGTATGTGAAGCATTTAACGCAATGTCTGGTCCCAGTGTAAGTACTCACTGAGTGGTGTGTGTGTGTGTGTGAGACAGGATGATGGATACATTGGGGATATAATGGATGCTGATGTGTTTGGTCCATTTGGTACATTGGTACATCCTGTCTTCAACTGAAGTGCACACCTAGAGCTTGTGAGAGACCAGGGCCAGACACAGAGATAGGGAAGCCGTGGTAATAGGTTAGATCAGGTAGGAAGAGACTGTAGTGGGAGAGGAGAGGCCGAGGACAGAATCTTGGGAGCGTTTTGACAGCAGGAGGAGGAAGTAGATTTGGTAAAGGAAGCTGAATTGAATAGCGGGTGAGGTGGGAGAACTGAGAGAATGTTGAGTCATGGGTACTCAAGAAAGAAAAAGTTCTAAGAAGCAGAAAAGTAGTTCCTGGCATTCACTGTCACAGAAAAATTAGAGCGTGATGAGTGAGAAGTTGCCCTTGGATTTAGCAATGAGGTGGTCATTGGTTGTCAAGGGAAAGGCAGATTCACTGCAGGTGGGAGCAGTTTCTTAGTGCTTGGTAACCATAATGATGTAATTGCCCATGTATGTGAAAGGGGAAATACAAAATAAAACATGCTGTGGAATTTTTGTCCACAGAAATTGTCCAGCTTGCCCTGGCTGGTGTGGCTCAGTTGGCTGGGCATGGTCTCGTGCACCAGAGGGTGACCAGTTCAAGTCCCAGTCAGAGGGCATATACTCGGCTTGTGGATTTGATCCCTGGTAGGGGGATTGTGGAAGGCAGCCAGTCAATGTTTTTCCCTCTCCCTTCCTCTCTCCCTAAAAATCAATTTAAAAAACCTTAAAAAAAAGAATAGAAAAGTTAAACAAAATGTCCAGCTTAATACAGAGAAATATACCAGTAGAAGGGGATAGAGTATTTATAGGTAGAGAAAAAGATATGCCAATGGTATTATAAAAACCAAGCTGCTGCTTGGACGAATTGTGCTAGTAAAATCTCCAGTATCATCTTTTAAGACGTTTTGTAGTTACACTCAGTGCTTCCAAATTTATTAGTGTTTTCCTTGGAACTGGAGGAAGGGTGGTCTCTGACCTGTGATGTTTTGGTTCTTTCCATTACTAAAATATTCATGGTGAACTTGAAAGTGACCTGGTCCTGATTTCAGAATTAGAAATTAGTAAGGACACTTACCTTATTCCTCGGGGAAGCACTTGATTGATGTGAAGGACTTGTCATTGGCTTTAAATCATCACGGAGCCACAGGCTGTGAAGGGAGCCAGCCAGCATCACCTTCCTGACTGCCCTGCTTAAACTCAAAAGATTTATTTTCCAGGTGGCTCGAAGAACAGGGCCCACGTGACTATCCTTTCTGCACCCGGGCCCAGCCAGAACTCCGTGGCCGGCTTACCTTCATCTTGGCGGGCTGACAGGGACGTCTTGGTCCCCTTTCCAAACAAATTAGTCTCATTTGGGAAGGGAACAGCCTGTCTTTGATGTGATAGAATAGCCAAGCAGCCTACCTTGTCATGTTACTGTTTGGACTTACTCTGTGTTTTGACATCCTTAACTCCTTCTAGTTAAAAGGAGAATTAGTTTTACAGATTATTCCTCCATGTACA